AACGTCGCTCTTTCAGAATCGCGTATGAACAAGACAAAACAATTATGAACAATTGCTGATGAATGAAAGTTTGCGATTGTGCCAGCAGAAACTGCGTTTACTTCTAAATAATATTCAGAGTTGCATTATGATTTTGCGATGAGCCTATTGCATACATATTCTCTGGAGAATGCTCAACATTATTGTGCTTAAAATATTCTTCTGAAGAATGACGTTCTCATATCTTCTATCATTGATTGGGATCGATAATATCGCAGAAATCGATTCTCTTTGTATCGATTTGCAGATGCAGTGTAGTGTCACGAACGATTTTGTAAGGAATAAAGAAACAGCCTTCATGCACAAAACGAGTTTAAGTGAAGATTCCCGTGTTGAGCGATTGTGCTCTAATTTTCACTTTTATAACAAACATCTCTACATCTGATCTATCGACCGCAAACAATGATCTGATTTTCATAATTCGGTTCAACAAATTTATCTGTCTACACGGAAAAAATTTGTTTTAGTGAAAGAAGATCTATAATAGCAACAGAAAAAGTGCATTTGGAACATCACAAAATTTGCAGTGTTCAATTATTTCATAGCAAAGAAGTGCAGATTTCAAAGTAAGGTGTTCAGTTTTAATAAGCGATTTCCATCCAGTCTAAGAATTACTGCTTGAATTATAAAATGAATGTTCACAGCAAGGGATCATCTGAATTCAACATAATAACGCTATCTTCAACTCTGTAATTATTTCAAGCTACGCATTTCAACTAGTTCTCCCCTCTTTCCCCTCCCAGAGCTTGCAAATGTCCTGAACAGCATGCTGAGAATCCAGAAAATCATCTGTCAAAACGCGTAAAAACGGCCCAACAATCAATCCCAAATTGAGACTGAATCTTTAGTATCGTTAAGTTCGATAATCCAAATTGAGTATGAGTCGTGTCACTTACTGTTCCTGTTAAATTGATCCCGATTAGTGATGAAATGAGCCAAAGGGCCATTTGTTGAAGAAGCATCGCTTGAGCGTACAGATTGCTGACCATTCGGTTGTGAATATAGTGTGGAGTAAGTGAATGAGAATGAAAGAATTAGCAGTAGAATCGTTTCAAAGAATACATTTATTATCAGAATTTTCATCTAGAAATACGGAATATTGACATGGAATGAGAGTTCGTTTGCCGATAGAACTGAGAGTTTCATGATCACGTAAACGCATCAATCCAAAATTCAACCTGATTGTGATTCACAAACTGGTGCTTTATTCAGAGGAATGGTATCGTTGCTTATAGCCTCTGGCTATGTAGACATACAATGAAAACGTGAAATCGATCGATTCACTTCTATGCGATGAATCAAAAGAGGATTTCATAGACAACGATCATTCAATGCAAAAAGAGTGCGTCGCAATTTTTATTGGAATGTTCCTATGAAAATAGATAAATCCATGATGCGGTCATCAGAACAAGGAAGAATGTCTTTAATGAGGCATAAAAGTTGTTAAGTGAAAAAATCGACAAAACCGATCCACATTTAGGAAGGATGAGAATTCACTTAAGAAGAACAAATGTGCTTGTATCATCCTCTTGATGATGTGCTTGTAATGATGACCTGAAGAAATTTTCAGCGAATTCGTTTCAAAAATACTTCTGCCAATGATAGTTGATGAGAATCTTTCATGATCAACAATACACAATCATTATCAATTTTCTTCATTGGAATTTTGTTATCAACACTTTTCATTATTAAGTTGCGAAAGATATGACGGCGTAGTGAGCATTAATTAGTTCGTTCCATAAGAATAAGTTGAAGTGGAATTTCTAGCAGTTTTAGTTCTAAAGCAAGCAATTAGATAAATTGACGATAAAACATCATCACTGAACATTGATATAATGGTCATATTTTTGGCGGGCGTGTGGTCGATTTGTCAAAATTTTATGTAAAGAATTACGAAGTTCGATGGTCAGTGTTTGGATGGTTGCTGAATATGACACTTGAAAACTGGGAGGGATAGAATAGTGCTCAGTGAAACTTAGATGGTTCATAACAAAACCATACCCACGATTACTTAACTTGGAAGTTGAGTAGGCATGTAACTAATTGATATTATAAGAAATGAAGCAAGCGGTTGAGTGGTTGAGGATTGGTTGAGGTAAATGCAGAGAAAATTTAGAAAACATTCGAAGCGTTATAACGAAAGGAATTGCGCAGAAGATGATGAAAAGTGAAACCGGTTTGGTATGAAGTCACTGAGCAGGGACTAGATATAGATGCATATAACACATATGACTAAGCTATCTGACAATCGGTCTAATAATAATAATAATAAGATCTTTCAATAAATGCATTTATAAGGCACTTAAACATTTCTGATTTGCACTTAAATAAGGCACTTAAACAGAATTTTCATCAACTGACACTGATTTTGACTGCTCATAATACAAAAGAAACATTTTAATCAAAATATTTTGAATGCATATTCGTCAACTGATTTTTCCAAATTTTATCGGGGAATTATCGCGTGATAAATCCGTCGAATTTTGTGTTCGAAGAGCTAGTAAGAGCGACTCTTTCATTAATATAACAGAGTGGATCTTTCCAGTGATTCAATTTGCTGTGCATTGATGATTTCAGCGAAAAAAAAAGTGAGATTTTAGTGAATGAGGCAATCAGTGTCTTCAGGGATACATCACTGACAGTTCGTGTAGAATGAATCGATTAGCGAATGTGTAATCTATAGTCGTGTCTAAGGAGTTTCTCCACAGAGGTCAAATTTGAGATATTTCTATCAACACCCAGCACATTATCGTAAATGAGATGTTTTGCCTTTGAACGAGATGTTTTGGTAGCCAGGAATATGAACAATTAGGCATCCGATTTTCATTTAATCAAGGTGGCGGTGTGATATAGAATCTTGAATGTTGTTAATATGAATATTTTGAAAACGTTCACTCGTCAACGAGCACTCAAAATGACGACTTCTGACAATTGCGAATTGCAGACACAGCTGGTGATTGCTAGCGGGTTGCATGGACGCTTCCTGCATGCGCGATCAGATTTCTCAATCATGCTGATTTGAACTGCTGAAAACTACTGCATACACTAAGGTATCTATACTTGCTAATTATAGGGTCCGTTATTGTTATTGGTCTATTACATCGAATAATTAACGAATGTTGTTCATTTAGGGCGAGAAAATTCACAGAATCCACATCGAGATATTCAGTGCGCATTCAACAAAGGCCGATATATTCAATTATCATGCTTTATTATAAACATAATTGTCAAAGTGTTAAACATGAGAAATATGAACATATGTCCAAGTATTAAACACAAAACCCGCTTCTTGCATTCGAATGCCCACAAATTGGCACAACTCTTCGATCCACAAGCTTTTATATCAGACGAATTGAAGTACCCTGATAACGCAAAACTTGCAATTTAACTCGGAGTTCTTGAAAGAATCGATTTTTTGCGATCTTTTGATCAAAATGCGATTAATCAACTGAATGTGAACATATTTCAAATCACTGCTTTACAAATGCTGTCACGAACACGACTCATTCCATCATGAATCATATTCACACGAAACGATTGATTGTACAAGCTACCGATTCTCTTCTTAAAGTCATTGTAGAAACTGGAAACAATCCATGTGATCGCCATTAGCTTTCTTCGATTTACCGACTGGTTTTATTCGCTCATCTTCCAGCGGTAAGTTAGAATGGATGTTTTCCGTTATTTCATCCCTCTTTTGAGTTTCTTCTGATGGTCCACTTTCCAGATCACTATAATAATCTGAGTCATCACGCTTGCGCCGACTTAATTCGTCATATGGATTATCGTATTGCAGTGAATCTTCCATATGATCAACTGATCTCTGTAATCGTACCAATTTTGATGAGAGTTGTTTGGCTGGATCGAGGAACGGTAAATGCTTGAAGAATTGGTTATTGAAATTGAATACAGGGAATGGTGATAGAGGATCTTTGTTGTGCAACGGTGTGATGGAAGGTAGAGTTGGTATGGGAGGAAATGTGGGTAACGTGAATAGAAGTGGAGGGAAGGTGGGGAGAGTGGCGAGCATCGGTTGATCGTCGACGGGCACTACAGGTTGTGGATGAGATGACCAAGTGCGAGAGCCACGCGCCGGTGGATCATCTGCAAGGATCGTTTTGGATGCTGAAGCAGTGCTTGGCCGGATAGGGATGGGAGGAGCGTCCGAATCGTCCATATAAAAGTCATCTTCTTTTGGCATGAATTGCTCAGTTTTCTTCGATAAATTTTCGGCAGGTTCAATGCTGGTTATGAACCTGTAAACTGAGTAGGATAAGTTGATAAATTTGGTGCTGATTCAAAGATGATGATGCAAACTGATTTTCGGCAGAGATGGAAAATTAATTATTAGGTTATATTTACGTGAAAGTTTTGCAACAATAAAGAGAGTCTTTAAGCTTGTAAAGGTTAGCAACAGTTTAGAGGAGAATTGAATAATTTTTCTGATACGGATAAAAAACTTCAGGGTTTTCCTGATGATTTTATACTGCTTGAAGATTCCGAACGAATCAATTGTGTTTGAAATACATTCAGAAATGTTACTGAACAACAAACCTATCAACGAGTTGAAAGCCTTTCTGAAATAATCTGCATTGAGAGGTGCCCAGACCCTGTTCGTGACAAACAGTTTCTAATGCATCCGGATCCCTAAAGACGAGTAGTAATTGCATTCAATATCAACGATATTATGCTATTGTGCAGAGCGTTTTTAAGATGTTGCTTCCGACCAAGCTGGCATTTCGGCGTTCCGACAGTCGNTCCGAGCGAAATTTCGCTCGGTTGGAATCCGAAATAAATAATGAAATAATAATCGGAAGGAAACTTTACCTGCTGATTGCTTGGCGTAACTTTTTATCAGCGAGAACCTGTGCGGCGAGGTTGATATTAGCGAATGACTGATCACTTTTGAAGTTATGTGCGGTACACGAGACGAATTTGCATATTTTTGAATTACCTTTACATATTGGTACTTCATCAAGAGAGTTGTACTTTGGTGCACCAAGGATCTCACCATCTCTTGTTCCGAGCTGACGCGATGATGCCTTCAATATCGACTTTCTTGAAAACGACCAACAGAAATTGTGACGCTGATATAAACGAAGAAAATTTTGAAAATTTTAGTGACAATTAATTTTGACAGCACAATAAAGTTGTCTGCTGATTAATTTCGAAAAGCTGCTTTCAGAGTGATGTTCTTGAAGGCTGCCATAATCCGTTCGTGATTAAAAGGTCACTCATCTGTGCCTCAAAAGAATCAAGTAACTTTATGTCTGGCTGTCAAATGAAATCCGCGCTCGCTGTTGACCACATTCGCTAGTTCTCCAACCAAAAAATATTTCGTATACTAGGAATTGTTAAAGGCGCAAAATACTTAATAAGAGAATCTTGATACCACCGCAAATACCTGTTTAGCTATGGTTGCATCGTTTTGAAGTGGTTGTGAAGTGTCAATTATAGGACGAACAAAATTGAGGGCACTCTCAATGATATCATCAAGTGTTACTGAAATAACTTATCATATCAACCATGATAACCTGATTATAAACAAGAACCGTTGGAAGCAATAATTTTGGCGGTAATCGTTATCGGAGAATTTCTGTCGAGGAATCACCGAATCATAGGGCAACGAGGTTCACAAATACTTAACAGATAGCAATTAACTTATGATGTGAAAAACAATCGAATTTTATAGAAACTTGCACGGGAAGAAGAATAATTCGTTGACATCACTATAGTTGTCATGTAATCAAAATGTGGGTAATAAACTGCAATGAATGAAAAGAGACCTTGACGTTTTGCATGTCTCCTTGTCATGATATTTCTGTCCAGTGCGGATACATCGTTGAGAATGATAATCAGTACAAGATATGAATGATACCGACAGAATGCACTCATTTCAGACATAGCTCATTGCAGCTGCCTTGATATACCTTCCACAGAAAACATTGAACAAATGTTGATCGCCTTATGAGCAGAGGTAGTCAGTCAAATGATGGAAAAATATTTTTGAAAAGACAGTGTGAATTTGATGCTGGTTCGAAGCGCTAAAACTGGTGTTTCGCAACGATCAAACAAATTATCGACGAATAGCGCTTTGAAACGACGAAGTCCACTATAATATTGCCGCCTGAAATGTCTATGTTAGTAAGGTTTGTTTCTTACTGAATACCGTTGAAAAACTAATTTACTCAGATGGATAGCCAGTGATTGAATAGTGCTGCACTCAGCTATCTCATCTCGCTCAAACAGTTATTATTCAAGGCTACATCGAATAAATTCGAAATTAATAGACAATAGAAATAAAATATTAACGATTTTCTTCAGGAAAATAAATAAATTCTGTAATTGTTTTACATTGCCATGATGATAGTACGCATTGAAAGTGATGACACTCAATGTTTTCACAAACGATTTCTTCATCGTTTGCAGACAACAAAATTTGGATGCGGTGAATTCGGAGGAACAAGACAAACAAATACGACTGATTGGATATCCGAATGAAATCTTGTTCTTTTTTCGTCTCAAAAAATCGCGATGTAATGACTAGACGAAAATCAAACACACAATATTTTCTAACAAGTCGCTAAACATCTTGCGGTCGGTTGTGGAACTGAAAGATCGTGCGGTTGGAATGATCGATGACAAAGGGGTGGTGCATTCAAGATGGAACCAGATAGCTGTCCTAGTATCCAATGAAGCATTCAAAAATAAATCACTCCGTCCAGGGAACAGGCTAAAGAGTAATGAACGATTCCACAAAATCTTCCCGCTCCTCAGCATCTACCGATAACTTCAATATCATCAAAGCAGAAGGCTTTGAATCCCTTCCATCGACTTTTCTCGGTTAGTAACTCGACTGCTTTTTGAATGAATTAATTAATGTGAACAAGTCCCAACCTTCCCGAAGCGGAGTTGCTCGATTCTGAACTCAAGACATGTCAACGGTATTCTACGTAACCTTAGCACCTAGTGAGGAATTGAATATTGAAATTTCAGTTTCTATTCGTAATTGAAAGAATTCCTCGAAAAGGTGACTACAAAATTGAGAAGAATTGCTGACTAGGAACGAAAACAAAGAGGATCATGGAGCGCGTGCAATAAATCAATGAGGAGAGTTAATGGAATTCAATACATGAAATTCATTAAATTTCGATCACAACATCTTCATTTGATCGAAAAACCGGTCTCGTGCGCAAGTGCCATTTTTTACTCATGTCAAAATGAGATAATTTCATAAATACGTAAAGTATGAAGCAGTAGAAATACGATTAAATAATTATCGATCAAGTGCATCTGTTTGCGAAAGAGGAAACTAGTGAATCACAGGCGAAGATCTTGACTCTTCAACTACCCTCGACATCCGATTGTTTTCTTGAATGACTCATTTGGGTTCCCAAGTTCGTTCTCTCCCCATAAATATATGTCTCCAACTAATAATAAAGAATGTGCAAAATAATATCCGGAATTATTGAATTTATATTCCAGTCAAGGCGACAGACAGTCATAAACGTTCATTAAAAATATCTGCTCGAAAGTTACACGTCAGATACGAATTAATATGATTTGGGTATTTTATTGGCATTTGCCTTCAACAGATAACTCGCCTTCGAAACGAGGGCATTATCAGTAAAATTAAACGTTATACTTTAGACGCTATCAGTAAACAATAAACTCAGTTAAGGATACTTTCAGTGACAATACATCGTGATAGCGGCGATCGGGGAAATAAAACAACAAAAACAGGGAAATCTGAATCAGCCGACTATACAGTGTGAAGAAGGATCTGTTCAGCATGGTGTTAGATAGATGGTTATTGATCTGATTGGAAATGGATGAATATGATGAATGTATTGGTGAATTCGTCGAAAGGGGGTCGTCAGTGGAAAAGAGAGTAAATTCATTGCAGTGTTAGTTGACACGGCACAATAAACATATTTATTTCATAATCATTTCAGGCATATTTATAGATTTCAAAGTTATCGGAATGAAGTTCAGCTGTTTCATTGCACGCTATATCATTCTTTAGGAGAATATGTACTCATAATTTCAGAATTTTGAAAAGCAGCAACTACATGAAACATACCGAATTTAGTCAGCCGTTAAATTAGAGATATCTTAAAATTAAATCAATCAATAACCGGAATACGACGTCTTTAGTTATGACGTTATGAAATCTAGAAATTCCGAAAGATGCTCAAACAAAAAATACTCATTCAATAAACTGAAGCTTATTCTACTTATAAAAGATGCAATAAATATTATCAAAATTATATGAGTGGCTACATCTGC